CAGGCTTGGGAACATAGTGTACCCTGGCTTCTACACATACAGCAGCACACACACACACACACACACACACACACACACGCGCGCCTGTGCGTGTGCAGGCAGTTCTCCTCTGTGCTAAATCAGAGGTTTATGTTACCACTCATTCCCTTAGCATGGTGGCAGCACTGCCAATTGTCCCCATGCTGATTTCTCAATATGTACCTGGTTCTTTGGTCTGTGAAGTGTCTGTGTGTTTCTCAAGCCTTTGCATGTTTGATTCCCTTCATGTGTTTCAACTGAAGCAGTGTGGTTCAGTATTGCCATATTGGCACACCTTTAGGGATAATCTGTGATTTCAGAGGAAACTGATTTAGTTAAATATCTGTTACTATGATTGTATTTTTACACTCTCATTTCCTGGCACCCTTAATAATTATAATAACATGCTCTGTTTTGCCACCTGAAAACTGTTTCCAAAGAAGAGAGCTGTCTGTCATCTTTCAAATAATTACGTGTTACTGAAGTTGTACTAGTTTTTTTCATAATGTGAAGTGTTACGGTTTTATGTGTTCCCCTGCTCGTAGATTCCCTGCCAGACCTTGCATTAATCACATCATCAGTGAAGTGGATCTGTTTTTATTGCCTTTTTATTAGCCATGTCTCTGCTGTTAGCATACCATTAAAAGGGAAGGAAGATGACAAGTGATAATGCATGAAAAGCGTACACAAGGAGAATTTTGTTCAGTTACTAGAGAATGGTAGATAATAGATAACAGAGGATGATCCCAGGAAAAGCGTCTCTGGTTTACTGTCTAGACAGGATGTAGTAAGCAGTTTGCTTTATTAGCTCATCTGTCTCTGTCCTCACTCTTTTCCTATGCTTCTCCTGTTGTCATACACCATGTTTCTCTTTTGTGTGTGTGTCAGTTATTCCCTCTGTCTCTCTCAGTTTTTAAGCATTTAAAAAAAAGAGATTAGATTCATTTAAGGCTGGAACAGTAAAACCATCCAGTGTTTAGGTTGCCATTGAAAGCTCAATATTTCATCTGCTTACAATTTAGAAAGTGATCCGTTGATAATACACAATTAAATGTACTAAAGAATGGGCCAGCTTTCTTACTTGAAGATCAGTATTCAAGTTAAGTGATGTTTGCCCATTATTTGGCCCCATTATCAGGACACTTTCCTGCCCTAACCCAGAACACAGATGCAATGATTCTGTAGGTATCATTACCTGCGACACTGTTCTCCAACCTTAACCCATCATACCATGCACATATCAGAACATCTGACCTAAACACTAAGCATTCCTGAATCCCATCCTTACCCAAGCAATGAATGGATATTTGGTGACTCGTATAATCTGCACTGTATTGGCTCAGGTTATACAGTGGCTGGCCCAACTAGCTAAACTAAAAACAAACACACAGTTAAACATTTTTAACACTTTCTGTAAAGCACAGTTGTAGCCAATATGGTGGGTCCAGACCTGTTCCACTGGTAGTAATGTATATAATAAATTATATATCAGGAGTACTGATTATTGGCTGTACTAAGATATAAAATGGGATGGAAACACAATTGGCTTTGTTTTGTTTGGACAGGGGTGTTGGATAACGGCAAACAGGTTGTGAGGATGGCTCTTGTAATGTTCTATTAACTGAAAAAGTCAGATATTTACCTTTTAAAACTAATCACGCTCACATTTTGAATGTCCATGTTGTCTGAGGTGTCTGCTTGTGTCAAAGATGGTCTGTATATTTGTATGTGCTTGTAGTGCTCACAGTGCACTTTGTTGAAAAGGCCAAAATGGATGTAGTGTCAAGTTTGTGTTAGTTGCCTTAGCTTCTCTGTCTACCTTTTTTTTCCTTTGCTTATCATCTTCTTACTATGTCTTACACCATGTCTTAGAGCTATGCAAACCTCCCTGCACCTCACCCCCCCAATGACCCTTTCTCCCCTCTTGCCCTCACTTTATCTCACTTTCTGGCTTCAGCCTCATCCCTCTTCATTGTTAGCATGCCCTACACCCTCTATCCCCAGTGGTCACAGTGGAAACAGTTTTATCATGGTGTGTGTGCAGACTCAGAGAGTAAATGTTTTATGATGATAGACTTAAAGTTGGGTAGACAAGAGTGTGTGCTGCATGTCTTTGCACTTGTGTGAGCGTTTATCTGTGTGCATGGTCTCTCTCTGCAGTTAGGCAACAACAAAAGGCCATCAGCAGACACATTGCGGACGTGCGAAATAAAGAGGATGTGCTTTACTTGTCGCAGTTCTCTCATCTTTTGCACTTGTCTCGCTGCCTGTTTATCACCCTTTTTCTGTAACTAGGCTTGAATATGCTTTTGATTTTTATTGATCCATTCGCTACATTTATTCAGAATTGTGGTCTTTCTTTCTGATCTTTACCCTTCTCCATCTGCTCCTCTATCTTTGTCATTTTCATTCCGTATCACTTACTCTGCCTTTAATTTACTACACTATACTACTATATACTTCATCTAAACTGGTTGGCATCCAGAACAACCCAGATTTTTACTGTGTCACTTATTTTTTCTCTTTTTCATTCTTTGGTTCTGCCTCAGCTCTGTCGTTGCTCGCCTGTCTTTTTTTCCGACTTATTTTCCAAGTAAATCACAGCTTTGTGTGAAGTGGCACCTGTCCCCATTGTGTTGTTTTGCCTATTGAGTAGTCATGGTCTTTGTTCTGTAATACCAGGGGAAAACTGCACCACCTATGTTTTACCTAAATGTAAGACATTTTTCTAATAACGTTTATTCAGTAAAATTAATGTTTAAACTCTCCATTGTCACATATGTTTAAAGACTGAGTCTTTTGTCTGCCTTAAAATAATGTATGGTGGAAGTTTTGTTTTGGCATGCACAAAATCAAAGCTGATTAAATTTGTGTAAATGCAGGTCACGTCGGTGAATTATTGAATTCCAGCTTATAAAGTGCGAAGCTGATCACAGTCGTAACCTATTGTTTGTGTGTTTATGAATGTTGTATTGAAAAAAACAACAACAAAAAAAACAGAGCCAGTTGTTTGTTCAGTTTTCTCATGACCTTGCATCCAAATGCAGTGCCTTGGCAATGTGTGTGCAATCATCTCTCAATTTCTCACATATTGAGCTCACAGCCATGTCACAGCAGGAAATTGACACGTTTTGACACCGCACTGTTCTCTGACTGAAGTGTAATAGGAGTACTGCACCTTTCAGTAGCTGTGCCAAATACATTCTCGGTGTACTCCAGACATGATCCTATCTTTCCTTACTTCAGTCTGGTCCGTGGCAAATTGACAAATAATACCAGGATATCACATTGCTTCTATCACTGCTTCTCAGCATTTATAAAGAAGCTCCTGCTCCCACACACATACACACACACACACACACACATTTATACAGCTATCTTTGTGAGGACACAAAGCTAGGCAATTTTAAAAGCGTAATTTAAACTGGTAAAATCCAAAAAGTTGAGATGGCCATTTCCAAATGTTCATCTTAACAGATTTTTTTTTTAAATATGTATGATTTTTTTCAAAATAAAGTTGAATTAACAGATCTATGTCTGATTATCTAAATGTAAGGATAAAGCTGCATAAGTTAATCTTAAAGTTAATCCTAAACCCTGCGCCTCAACCAGAGGTCAGGGGCAGGGTTGCTGGTTCATGTGACTCCTGATGGTTTATGTATGTGCATGTGCTGACATATAAAGTGTGTAGGAGAGTGTGTGTGTGTGTGTGTGTGTGCATGTGTTGAGTATGAAGGGGGCGGCGTGACAAGTAAGTTCATGGCTTTCGCTCAGACATCCACTTCTTTAATATTCTCTTCCTTCCTTCGCCTCTGCTGACACACACCGTGAAATAAAGAGAGAAAAGAGACAAGCGGAGAGATAAATGAGAGAGACATCTCGAAAGGTTTGCACACCGCACATGCACAACGGAGAGGAGATGAGAGAAATGGGAAAATAAAATGGTGGAAAGTGAGAAAGAGACAGAGGTAAAAGTGAAAAAAGTGAAAACGATGGGGAGATAAAGGAACTTTGGTTGTTCTCTGGCAGTGTGTAGTTATTTTGGCAGATGGTCCCCGTGTATTTGGTTATTATCAGCTACCACTGACAGCTCTGGTCCTGCCTAATAGATAGCTCAATTATCTTTCACTACTGCTCAGTAAAGTAGGAACTATATGTGTTTGTGTGTGTTTGTGACTGTATAGATGTAGTTTTTTGTGTGATTTACTTGTAAATGCAGACATTTACATGCAAACACCCCCCAGCACTCACTGAGTGCGACTGTATGTGTGGGTACTTGCCCATCCAAGTGATCATGATGGGTTCACATCTATTCAGAGGACAAATGTGTGGATACATGGACACAAAGGTGATCCATTCTTCACTGCAGGGTAATTGTATCAGCGATCCACTCTACCACAGAGACACTGGAATAAACAAAATGAGAAAAACTGTGTGTGTCAAGAGCAGAAGTGTTTTTTCTTTTCTGAGATTATAGGGATGATTGATATATTATATGTATGTTTTTCCATTCATTTTGTTATGTATAATAGTGTTTGATTAATTGAGATTGATGTTATATATTGTCCAGACAAGTGCAGTGGTGCTTCTAAAATCTGATAAACTCTAATAGGTATTAACTTGCCTATTATCTCAATGGAAAGCTTCATGTCATAGTCGTCCACATTTGCCCATTAATCTGTATCAGATGCCTTATATATCACTGTCTCACTCCATCCATATTGTTTTCTCCCTCTCAGACCTCGACTCCAGGCCCAGAGGAAGTTCGCCCAGTCACAGCCCAACTCGCCCAGCACTACGCCCGTCAAAGTGGCTGATCCAGGCAGCCTGAACACCGGTCTGGCCACTGTGCCCTCCTCTTCTCTCTCATCGCTCTCTTCTTTATCGCTGTCCTCTTCCATTCAGGACCTGTCCAAGCGCAAGCCCAAGACGGAGGACTTCCTCACCTTCCTCTGCCTCAGAGGTAAGACCCAGCAGAGTGGAACAGACATAACTACATTCATGCCTACGACGAGCAATAGAGCTGGAGGAATGTTGATGAACAAGAAAACTCCACATAAAGTGTTATTCCAATAATAAAGATCTTTATATGTCAAGTAAAACATTCTCAAGACCTGTCATATAGTATGTGCAGCTGTGTGCTGATGTACAGTATAAACATGAAAGTGAAATTTGAACTGTGTTAAGCACTTTGCTCTTGTTTTAGCCATGCACACTAGAGGCAATAGAAGCTGTTTAAGATTACATATAGAATATTTTCTGAAAGTCAGGTTTTGATCGCCCTCCACCCCTTCATATACACACATAACCACACGCAGTTACTACAAATAACTGTGTACTTGCCCGAGGCTATGATTATCCTGCATTTCAGTGGCTTACACACCGACCCTTCCTACAACTATCTGGCTAACACCCTGCCTGTTACCTTCTACCACAGCAGCTGTTCGTGCATAGAATATGTGCACTGTCACACACCTTACTCAACAAACATTATGCAAGTTGATTGACACAGTGTAGCAGTTTTGATGTCAAATGAACTGTAAAAGGTATAGCAGAACAATTAGCAACAGAGTTAGTTATGTGTGTGTGCCGCTCCCCTGTGCCACACACAGCAGCACTGTTTATCAGGAGTGTCTTAACAAGGAAGACTATTTGGGTTATACGCAGGCACCGAGACAATATCACATCCCTATATCAGCTAGATCCACTTGGCACTCACAGTAACCAGACAAGTCCTGTCCTCTTTTTCTCTCAAGTTAATGAAGTACTGATGTTACCTGATGTTACTTAGGATTTATGCTCCACTGGCCAGCAAGGCCTTTTTTAAGAATAAGAGATTGTGGTTGATATGCAGACTAAAATTTGCTAATGTCCATGTTGCAGAAAATATGTGCACTTTCAAAAGGATTCAGCACAAAAAGTTTTAGTATCTGCTCATATCTGGTGTTGAAGGTTATTTTATAATGTCCCATGTAGGTGTAGACTGCTAGGACTATACACCCACATAAGATGGAGGAAGGATGGAAGCACACTGTCCCCTATACACCTACATTACAAGCTTCACCTTCAGTTCATTAAAGCCTTAAATCATGTTTTTTTGTGAAATATGAAAGAGCATGGAGTGTCATATTTAAGGCCTGAATAATAAAAAGTTTAGGACGACCTTGGCCACGGCTTCTTAATGCTATCTTGTTGAATATCCCACTCTTTTCTTAAACATTTCCTTACAATCAGAATTAACTCATTTGGAAGACAAACCCCCTGGTTTCAGATTAATTTACTGTTATCATTATTAACCTCTGCCCATCTTGCAAAGTAGGCTAAAGACTCAGGAGAGCCAAATTTGCATTCAGGTCTGTTGGGAGGTGATGGCTATACGTAGCTGTTCTGATGAGAATACTTAACCTTACAGGGCTCATTCAAGAATGTATAATTGGATGTTGCTAAAACAGACTGAAGCTTTTGGTGAAAGGGGTTTTGATGTGCATATATAGGCCAGGTGCTACATAAGCTAATATTATAATGTCCTATATACTCTGAAGTTGAGATCATTCTGTGATATGGGTGCTAAGCAAACCCCACCCCTGTATGTGGAGTGGTAGACTAATAAGGTGTCTAGTCCTGACTGAGTGTTGCTGCTTTCTGTTTTTATGATTAATGTTAGGAATGGTCCTTTGCCAGTCAGTTTCTAGTCCTTGTTTGCAAGGTCTGTTGTACTCCGCTGTGCTACTAATACTAATTTTAGAGCTAGGCTGCTAAGTGAACTGTTTTCCAATGAGATTTTTCCACTCTGCCTCGCCTTGCTTTACAGCTGTATTTAAAGATACAGTTTAGCCCTGTGTTGATAGTATTTATGCGTTGGTCTACTATCCGTGCTGTGAGGTTGACATTTTCTTGTGTGGGCTTTTTCTGCTCTGCTTTTTACCATTGGCCTCTCATATGACCCGTATGCTTGGGACGCTTACCAAGAAGGGGACATGGGAGAATGTCACTGGAGCCCTTGAGGTTGGGTGTCCTAGTGTGTGCACGTGTGTGGGTGTGTATTCATGCATGTGCATGAGTGCAAATCCATGCTCACCACTGAGGGTTCCTGTTCTGCTTATCTCCTGTGTGTGTGTGTGTGTGTGTGTGTGTGTGTGTGTGCGTGTGTGTCCTAGTGTGTGCACCTGCAGACATTTGGCATCCAGGGTATCCATGTTAGCCTGGTTCATTTTTTTAAAGGGATTCAAATCTTTGATATCATCTGAAACCCCCAATCCCATTTAAGATTTTAATACATGTCTCTGGTGATCTGACCACCACACACATTAGGCTCCTCATATCTGTTCCCAAAAGAAGACAGAATCACTAACTATTTTATGGAAATCTTAACTCCATTATTCCCCACCCCTCTTCATTTTGATTTTCATTTTGAAGTTTTATACTATGGAATTTGGCAACAGTTCCACCCAGAAACCCCACTAGTGGTGCTTTCTGAGATTCACCCGAGGTCAAATGTTCACAATGTGTAGATGCACCCCTGCAACCCCCAACACACACACACACACACACACACACACACACACACATACACACACACATACACATACACACTGCAGTATTTGCTTATCTTATCTGGTAAACATTACACATGCACTCCAAAGGCTTCTAGACATCAGTCATTCTGACAGATACATAACAGCAGTTAAATCATGAAGGATTTGAGGTGATAACATGAACAACAAAAAAGAAACGACTGTTGTGAAAGCAGGTCTTTTGTTTTTCTCTGTGTTGTGAAACCATTTTTTTCATCGTTTTGTATGTTGCCCATGTACTTTGTGGCTAATCCGAGCTTGTAATTGACAGCATTTTATTCTTTTTTTATGATAATGAATTGGCTGGCTCTTGGTGGTCGTGTTGTTGCTCTGTCTGAGGAAAAGTTATTTTTAACTCCTCCAGGGGGGGAGCGAGGGCTCCTGATTATTTTGATGCAGTGTGGGAGTAACCAGACACGAGAAGTGAAAAACAAGATTTCTGTCTACTGTATAGAAGGGTGTGCACACCATATATGCTCGCCACCCACACTGTCTAAGGCATATCAATTGTGTATTTACCTCACTGCTCATCTCTTTCTCCTGCAAACATGCACACATACATACAGAGACACACATGATCAAACTAGAGTGGTCCGTCCTTGTTTGTGGACTCAGGATGGTGCTTATGTGTGGTCCAGGCCTGTAGTTGGACTGTTTATATTCATGGAGAAAGCCGTTTGGGTGGTAGCCAGACAGTCTGCCCCTGGCCCTGTCTGCCTTTAGTAACAGTGCAGTGCTGCAGCTGGCAGGGTGGGGGCAGCACTGAGAGCAGTAAAATGAAGCAGTGCATATACTCTGATCAAAGTCATAAATGTTGGTTTGCTCCAGGCTTTCCAGCTCATTCAAGAGTTTTATTTCAAATTGGGATACCTGCTGTTTAAATTGGTAGCACAATGGTTCAGGAATGATCATTGTCATGGAAACACAGTGCACAGCTTATAATGCGAATTGGCTGCTTGTTGGCCCCCTTAGCATTTTTGAGCAATATCAGAAATCTTTGTCTTTCACTGTTTGTTATATGTATTTATAAGAGTTATTTACCAAATTTTTGTTCTTAGTGAGGCACAAATACACACACACACACACACACACACACACACACACACACACACACACACACACTATACACATTGACAAATGATAAAAGAATAAATTAGGGAGTAAATGAATAACTGCACACACACTCTCCTGAAAATTAATCTCTTGCATAAGACTTAATTTCCAGGAGTGATACTTCTTTTTTTTTGTTATGTGTGTGTGCCAGTGTATACCGTGTTGTGTTTATCTCTTTGCCCTCTGGGCCTTCATCTGTGTCCACCAGCCCAGTGTGACGCCCTTCTCTCAGGTTCAGTGAGGCCAGTTTCTCTGCTCTGCTTACATAACCTTCTAGCTCTGACCTAGTGAACCACAGATTCCCCGTACGTGATTACACATGCAGAACAAATGTGGACTTTTCACATCTGTTTCTTAAAAAAGATTGCCTTTCCTGAGAATTGTGCTTGGGACCCCGATCCTTTGTAGCTAGATTGTTGGATTTTATTTTCTTTGATGATATTTTTATTGTCTGAGCATCTCTCTTAACTAGAAACACATTCTTACTCCTGGGATTTCAAGTCCAACACCTAGTCATTGTGTCTCTCAAGTACATTGCTGCTGTGACAGCTGAAGTTCCCACAGGGATAAGGTACTTTTCTCTCCCTCTGATGTGTGATTGCTGTTTGATTAAAGCCTGGAAATTGTTTGTGTAGAGTTGTGATTTTCTTGTCACTGATGATGCTGTGCAGAGCTTGGTAGTGCAACACCAGCTGATTCTGCATTTGCTTCCAAGAGCAGAGCCACTGTTACTGATATCTAGGAATGTCAGTTGGAGTTGCAATGTCTAATCCTCTCTCAGGCCCTGTTCAGACCTGGAATTAACATGTATCCTGGGATATCTGAACACAAGTGGCCAGCTAAGAGAGTGCGTGTTCACACCTGGCATTAAAATGCATAACCAAAATGCATCCTGGGTGATTGGATCTGGCCTCCCTCGCTCTATATGCAAAGAAACACGTACAGCATTTCCGCTTGCAAACACCAAATGTGCTGTTTTAAACCGCCAGAGGCAGCAGCTAGAAATAACAAGACAAAGAAGATCTGCCATACCAATACAAAGAAATCGAAACAATACAGATGTCTGTTCTTTGGTGTTCCAGGCAAACCTAATTGTACAGAATGTTACACACTCATATAGGTTTCCTTGAACTTTTTGAGGTCCACCTAAGCCATTGACGTTAGTTTAGTAGATGGTCCGTCAATTTGTCCCAGCACATTTGTGTTCAGACGAGGAAGAGAATGCAGACAAATGTGCCCCAGACCACCTCCGAGAGCATGCCAAGCGATCGGATTTGAATCCGTCCTAAAGTGTGCTCACACCTGGCATTAGTGCTGGCTACTTGTGTTTGGATTTCCCAGGACACACGTTCATGCCAGGTCTGAACAGGGCCTCACTCTCTCTTGTTGTCCACAGCAGGTCCACATGTCCCCTTGGCAGCTAAACCTTACTGATTGCATATTTAAATTGTCCTCATTGTTTCAGTTCCAGTTAAGAGTACAAAAGAAGGGTAGCTAGAGAATGGAGGGTTTGTAATTATGGCCCCACCCCATCCCCCCACCCATCCAAGAGCCCCTTTAAAAATGACAATTCTAATAGACTCTTTCAGACCTAATTATGATTTGTCTGCAGTGAGGTGGATGAGAAGCTGGTGCAAATGGGAGACTGGGCTCAAGCCCTGTTGGAAATCATGGAGAAGGGTTGTGTTTTCTCACCACGTATGTATGTGTATTCATCAGTCTAAGAGCTGATGTATTCAGGGTGTCTGTGCCAGAGATGAGGGCTGTAAATTCTGCTATATGCCCTGGCAGTGTTGCTTCTACTCGGATGCCAGAGGCCGGTATTGAACCGCTAGGTCTGTTTGTAAGGATTGCTCTGTGTGTCTGTCATTTCTTTGTTGCCTCTCCCTTCTTCCTTTCCCCAGAAACCTAGACAGTCTTGTTTTGGGGGTCTTGAATATATTAGATGATGCAGTTATGCTGTTGTCACATCTGTTGCTGTTTGTTGTCAGCTCATTATTTTTTACCAGTCTGCTGCTTTCTGCAACATTAGAAATCTTATTTCTTCCTGAGCCCAATATTTCTTTTCTCACTTTCACAGTCTGCTGTTTAGCTCTTCCTCTTTTCAGTCTCTACTCCGTATGACCAGTTGTCTCACCTTTTAGTGAATGGATTTGATCCAAAACCCCAACCTCAGAAGGTTAAATTGTTTCTCAGAAAGATAAACACTTCCTCTACTGTTTGTATATTCTCACGTGTTCATATGCACTCGTGCACCCCCCAAACATACACATACGCACACCTCCTTCCATTTCTGCCCCCAGGTGCCCCTGTGGTCTGTTTGCCATTGGCCTGCTGACCCTTGTTCAGGGCAGTAAATTACAGCCATTTAACTAATGAAGCGAGTCATTAGAAGCTGATTGGGCCAGTGTGTGCGCTGCCTCGGTGTGATTGTTTGGTTTAAGAGAGGAGCCTTTTTTCTGTCGCCAAGATAAACGAGGTGTCTGTGCCATGTCTTTGTTCATGTCTGGCTGTGTGTATCTGTGTGTGTGTGTGTGTGTGTGTGTGTGTGTGTGTGTGTGTGTGTGTGTGTGTGTGTGTGTGTGTGTGTGGCTTTTTTGTACCTGTTGGTTTGTACCTGTGCTGCAGTCATCCAGTTCTCGAGGCCCGATTCACTGGTGCTCAGCCATTTGTAGTGTACAGTAATCGTCTGAATTGAGTTTCAGATACTTTATGCCAAGAAACAACAACATAAACACGTGTCAAATGCTTGTAGAGAAACCACCATGTGGGTTACTATGGGTTGTTTTACATATTTCACTGTTGTTGAACAGCCACTTTTTTCCCAGTAGAACGTTAGAAGTTAAAGACAGCAGGTAAAACTCCATTATTATCTGTTCAGGGAATCTGCTGCCACGACAGATTTTATTTCTGTCTCCAGCTCTCTGAGGAGATAATTAGAAACTGGCAGAGCTGCAGTGTGAAAACTATGATCCAAGGTACAACAAGATTTATTATTATGAGGCTTAACTTTTTAGGGTTTGGAAAGCTTTGACATGAGTAGGATATTTACACTAAGCTCGCAAAATAAATGTGAAGTGATGTGAAAACCACAAGCCCTCCTGACTGGCCAATAACAGTTGTTAGTCACTTTAAAATGAAAGTTTATCTACACTAAGTGCTTTAGAAAAGAAAGAAAGCTTGAATAATGATTTCAATATGCGTATTATTTTGTTGTCACCACAAAAGCTGAAACGTAATCTACCAAATCAGCATAATTCGAAAAGATGATTTATAGTAGTGTAGGCTATTTAAAGGACGGTGGTTCGGTATACAACAGCATTGTTGTGTGCGCGATACTGGGTAGCACCAGTTAAGCTTTGCACCATGTCCTTTCCTTAGTCATTAAGAAAGCCCAGGCTTAGCCAGGGTATCATTTAATCGTGTGTATCCTCGCATATAAACACACACTAGTGTTTATTGTATACAGACTAAACCTGTTGCTGCACATGTGTGTGCGTGTGTATGTGTGTCACATTGCACAGGAATTGACTGCACAAAGCTGAACTGTTGACTTTCAGTGCAGAGTTGCATCATTGTTACTGATGAGCTAACTATTTTCTTCAGTCTAAAACCTTTTAAATAACTTGTGTAGTTTTGCTGATAATTTTTGCTGATATGTACAGAATATATCCCTTCTGGAAGTTTGTTATAAAAATTGTTATGGCATTGTCATGGTGTGAATAGTTGTCTGCCTCTATGTGCCTCTGTGTAGACAGGTGACCTGTCCAGGATGTAGCCCACCTCTCACCCAGTGTCGGCTGAGATGGTCTCCAGCACCCCATACTTGTCATACTTGTGTTATCTCTGTATTTTAATTGGACCAATTAATAATGCATTAAATGTGTAGAGGTATCCAGAGAGAAGTATCCAGCACCCTCCAAAACAAATACGTTAATTAAATAAGCGTCTCGGCTAATTCTTATTTCACTCTGTGTAATTTTAAGAATACTGTGTAGTTTAATGCAAGCTAGTTGAATTCAGCCTATTTTTGTAGAGGCTTAACAATTTTTTAAATGACATATGGTCACACGTTGTTTTCTGTGAATGTCTTTTAAATACTGAGACCCTTAAAAGGGTCATAAAAACCACTGTAGCTGCTCAGACTATGCAATCGATTTAGTTATAAAGGACTCACAACTTCATAAAATCCTGTGTTTCCTGCTCATAAATGGCCAGATTTAATCAAAGCTATAAGGATGTTGCATAACCACACAGTTGTGTAAACTCTAAAGCAACAGTCACAAGCATACAGTTATTAAATCATAAAGCCTAATTGCACAAATTGAAAATTGTTTTATTAAATCTTGCCCCCCTTTTCCAGTCAGTAGAGGTCACTCACACATGTACACATACTGAATACACAGGGTTCTGTTTGCTGAAGGGTTTGTTTCCTATGGTTGTAGAAGTCTTCTCCATACTCATCCTGCAGATGTAGTTGCTCAGTGTAAATCCAGTCTAAGAAACCCCTTTTCTTTTAATTCCTGCATCTGTATGACTGATAGCTATGTGCACATTGAATTACTAGTGCAGCATAATGAGATTTAATAACACAGCGTTGGGTTTTATGATCTTTTATGAGCTTGAATGTACCTTTGCATGCATCTAACCGAGGTAACATTACAGGCTATCCACAGCCAAACACCACTGACCTCCTTCCAGCATGTATTGAGCTAGATTTCACAGGAAAGAGAGAAAATGTCAGTTTTCTTCTCCAATGGGGGAGAGATTGACAGTAATCCTGTTTAAAAGAGTGAAACCGACAGATTTGGGATTAGTTCTGCGGCGAGAGAAAAAGAGACTCTATGGTTTCTAAAGTAACTTACAGAGATATTTGAGCATATGTACAATATATGCGTCTCAATAAAACTGTCAACATCAAGAGTCTCTGTGGAAAGAGCTTATTAAACACCCCTAGAGCTCTGGTTTCAGTTCAGCATGGCAGAATGTGCTGCAAATCATCCCATCCTCTGCACTGTATAGGAAAATACTACTGATATTGCTAGAACCAGCTCCTCTTCTACCTAAGTCTTACAGTGGCATTTACAAAACACTGTGGCAAGAAAGCAAAACATTTACAGGGCAAACACCAAGAGCAAAGATCAAGGTCAGGTGATAAATGAGAAATCCATAGATGCAGTTTATCAGTGTGATTCAGAAGGTGATGGAGGCTTAGGCTGATTCATACAGAGGACAAATGCTGTCAAAGTCGAACAGTCATTGCTTTGCACATCATTCTGACATTGTGCCACGTTCTGTCCTTGATTATATTTGGGCATTTTAGTATGTGAGTGCAACAATGGCGCTGCTATGTGCAGAGCAGTTTATGCAGCATCAATAGGCCACCGACTGAGATAATAACAGATGGAAACATGGCAGCACAACATCATTATTCACAAACCCATGAGCTACTCCTATTTTTAGATGAATATTTCACCACTTACACATAGATGTTGATTCATCTGTAATGTCTGATATTAGAGCAGGAAAAAAAGCAAAAACATTTTCATACATGGAAAACTGTGGCTCTCAAAAAGAAGTATAGTGTGTTAAAATACTTGTAGTAAATCTGTTTTCACAGTTTTTACATATTATAAATTGTCATTTCCCATTTTCCCCCTTCCTCTCCCTCCTGCCTTCTCCCCGACCTAACTGTTTATTATTCATCTCTCTCACTCTTCCTTCATTTTCTCTGCACCCAGGTTCATCGGCACTGCCCAGCAACATGGCCTACTTTGGAAGCTCCCAGGAAGAGGAGGACCTGGATGAGGAGGAGGAGGAAGAGGAAGAGGAGGAGGAAGAGGTGAGGAACGGAGGTGGCATCCACTCCCACGGTGTGGGAAGCAGCAACCAAGCCTCAGCCTCCTCTTCTTGTCACTCAACACCCCGCAAGGGCAAGCTCCCCACCAGGCAGCCACTCAACGGGCACGGTAAGGACAGGCCTAGAGCTTAGAACAAAACATGCACTATTTTTACTGCTAACACACTTCTTCTGTCTTCATGCACTGGACCACGGAATGTTTTCACTCGATCTTAATGCACCACAGATACGGTCTGTGTTTACTGTTTAAAGAGGGGAGTCAGAGAGACAAAAAATACAAGAAGAGGTGCAGGGGGGCCGTAAGTAGGAGAGGAAAAGGCCTATCTGAAGGACAGAGACAGAAGAAGTGAAGGGGAAAAGATGAAGAAGGGGGAATGAAAGGTGATGCACTAGTGCAATAACTATAGAGGAATGGAAAGATCCATTTGGAAAAAGTTGCAGAAAGCTGGAGAAATGCAGAGGAAGAGAGAAACTTGGGCCAGACAGGAGCAATGGATGAGTCATGGGACCAAGACAGAATAGAAGTGCTTGTCTACATGTGTGTATTTGTGTGTGCACATGAGCGGTTTCCCAAGCTTATACTCGTTTTCCACTGCAGACACAGGGTAGGCCACATGGGATGGCAGAGCAGTGCATCGACTTTTTCCACCCCAATTAACACTTGGCTTGCTAAGCCCTAACAAGGTGTTTATGCGCGTTCTGTAACAGCTGGCTTGGACCCTCGACACACAAACGCACACTCTCACACACAGTGCGGTGACAGCATACATACATACATCCCTTGAGGCACATCGACATTTGGATGAATACTCATACACACATTTGTGCGCAATATTTAGAAAATTGCTTGCATGCAATTGAAGCTATGAGAACAGACACACACTATCCCCACATTGATGACTGCATCAAGTCCCCCCCCCACTAAGAGAATGAGACGCCCAGGACTCGATCAGGGGTCAAAATTGATAAACGTGTACTAATTTAATAGAATCAACACTATTTTTCCTTTTACATTTTTAATTACAGTGCCACATAATGTGTCTGTTATATCCACCGTGTAGTATTGAATCTAAAGTTTTTCTTCAGAGCTGTAGAAAAACAATTGTAACCTGGCTTTCTCTCTCTGGCACACGTTAGGGACATTCAATCCTTCCGGCAAGGCAGATCCTCATGAAAAAGGTGTATTTCATAGTCCTTCCTCTCCACCCTCCCTGACTCTCTCCCTCCCCCATGAGTCTGTAGAATCTCCGCCAGAAAGGTTCAAAAGGTGAACGCTTTGCTGAACTCTTTTCTCTGTCATCCTCTCAAGTGGAATGTGGGGGAGGCGAGAGAGCAGAGAGACTGGTGGGATTAAGGGAGAAAGACGGAGAGAGGTCCATAGATTTGCATGTGCTGAACTCTTGGTGAATTCGTGCACTGCCTTTGTGTGGTACACTGGTAGTGCCTTCCTCCAGCACCCAAACAGTTAAATAAACTTTTCTCTCATTCTTAGACAGACACAGCTGCACCTTCATACATCAACTGTACACTTACTCATATCTGTATAAGAAGCACGAACAGTAGGATAGTGAAACCTGTTTGTACAAATCCAGGCTGAGTGCATGAGGACAGCTTATTCTCCCATCTTATCTCATGCAACACTGTTTGCAAAGCACCTTGGTGGCTTCACTGTGATATGCTAAATAAATAGATAAGAGAGAAAAAGGCAGATATACTTTGCAGGAGGACAATAGAGATGAGGAAGGTTAAGGACACCGAACAGGCATTTGTTTACATGCTTAGGTGTGCACACACAGTCAAGACTGTGTCATTGCTTCGGTGTATTAGATATCAAGCACATTTTTGTGGCATAAAGATTGGTGTCAAATAGGACACTTTAATATGCAGCTTGATCCACTCTCCAGCAGGAGCAGGGTTATACGGGCTTTTCGAAAAGGATGAGGGGAACAGAAGAAGAGGGAAATAGAATTAGCATAGGAGAGAGAAACATTTTATTCTTTGAGCTAAAGAGAGACAGGAAAGGCCATACATTGTAGTCCATTCATCAGCGTTAGTCTCTCTACTCCCAGCTTTTGGCTCCGGGCTGTGTTGACATAGCTAAATTAAACAACTTTTATTGGGCTCAGTTTCTTGCTTAGCTCACTTCTCAAAATGTCAAATTTTTTTAGGGGCCCCAGAGACTCACAGATGCTCACTTGTGGTGTGGAAAGGACACACACACACATACAATGATACTCAAAAGTGAACATACAGATTGTCTAACAGACTGATGTCCACATAGTAGGATAGGTGCCTTGCTACCTTACAAAAACTTTACACAGTGATTTGTTTTCTTTACAGTGGCTGAGTTTTGTATTGTATTTCTTTCTCTCTTGTCCAGTTGTAAAAATCCAGAAATTCACAGCAGGATGCATAATTTGTAATGCAGTGAATAAACCTAGTGAACAATATTTTAGTCAAAATGTGAGTGAATCCATTTTCTGAATCACTCACAGAGGACTGGGGGCACTGGGGCATGGCATGCATGTACACAGTTTGTAATTTGATCTTAAACAACTGGATGGCTTGCATTTGTGTAACACTTCTGGCGGAGGTTCCTGAATCTTGTTATGTCTTTAGTTAGATGTTTTTGCTGGAATATTTGTTGTAAATGACTTTCTCTTCACCACCAGACGTTTGTATTCTTCTGGTTTTGCGGCAGTCACATGATAGAATGTCATCAGCACGCCCACCAGCTCCAGGGCAATACTCTGGACTGTATACTGCTGTATTCTTACACAGTCTCACTCCTGCTCACTCGGACATTGCACAGACTTTGTACTAGGGAGCTGGCAGGGTAAAGTCTGCTTAATGTCCAGGTTGCTGACTCAGCCATTTGTGTTCTCACATACATACAGCTCTTTCAGGTAATGTCTAGATAATTTGCATGTCTGAAATTGGCTTTTGTGTCTCCTCTCTCCTGTAGTGTGTTCTCTTTCTCTCTCCCTATACTTCTCTGCAGGTATCCCTAGCTCCAGAGCTCTATGTTTCTGATGAGCAGTCAGCGATAACATTACCCTGCCCAGTGTTTGTTTGTTGTGGCCTGATGCTTTTCTTCTTTTCTGTCTCCTCTGTCCACTCACCCCAACCGATTGAGGCAGAAGGCCCCACCAAGAGCCGGGGTCTGCTGGAGGTTTCTTCCGTTAAAGGGAGTTTTCCTCTCCGCTGTCGAACAAATGCTTGCTCACGGGAAATTTGTTGGGTTTTCCCAATAATACTGTAAGGTCTAAACCTTACTATGTAAGGTTGTTGTGAATTGGCGCTATACAAATAAAATTGAATTGAAGTGAACCTGATTCCTGTTTCTTTTCCCCTTTCAGTGTTCAACAGCCATGGTAAAGCAGGGACCACAGAGAGTCCAAGGCCCAAGATGGGAACTCACGGCAGGGATGCACCTGCCCCGACATTGCCACCTCCTCCACCTCCACCTCCACCCCTCCTGAGAGAGCGCAGTGAGAGAGCGGAAGCACGGGAGCATGCGAGGATGCAACAGGCTATGGCTAGCGGTCGAGGATCCACCAACAGGCTGGCACCAAAGAGAGCTGCTGAGGAGCTACGCAAGCAGGTACGGTGTAGCCAGGAGTAACAGTACTGGACTCTAAATATGATGACAGAGCCATAACTTGCTAAATATGACACAGAGAAAAAGGAAATGACAAAGGCATTTCTATAGCTTCGCCTTCTATAGCTTCGCCAGGAGGGGCAGGAAAGTACTGTGGAAATTATGTTGCTATAGGTGGAATTAGGTGTGTTGTACAGTGGAGATATCATGGAACAAGTTGTATTAATAGGTTTTGTGGGCCTGTTTGGTTATTATGCCCATTTGAAATCTGCCTCTTGACTCTTTTCTTTTATCCATCTGCCACACCCTCTTTTATCTTCCTCTCAGTGATTTCTCCCAACTACTTTGCTGCTTTACTTGTCTCCCTCCTATATGCCTCCATCTACTTGCCTTCTCCACATTGCCCCTTTTACTTTCTTTTTTCTGCTCCGATCTTCTTATCTCTCATCTCCTCTCCTCCCCTCCACTCCATTGTGTCTGGGAGAGTAATGATTGTGTTTTGGCCTGCCGTGACTGCAGCTATATTTAGTAGTCTCTGGCCAGGGGCTGTGAAAGTCTGCCTCCCTCACCCTGGCACTTAAGCAGGTTTCAAGGAACCCCACAAAGTGAAAGAAGAGAAGGAGTAGAGGCAGCTTTAGTTAGAAAACTGGCATTTGTATGATCACATTAGCTAATCAGAAGCAAGGTGTTCCTTTTCTCTCATAATCGCCCTGTTTTTCATCCCTTTTCTTTCCTCCCCTGCTTATTCCTTCTCGTTCAATGCCATGCTCTCTCCAGTGTTGCTGTTGTTGTTGTTGTTGTTGTTGTTGTAGTAATGTGCTGCTGCTGAGGGAGACTCGGGCATGTGTTTCAGGTTTTTAAAGTGACTGGAATTGTCCAGTAAAACCAGCAATGAATCTCAATGAGAGTTACTGCCTGCCAAGAACAACTTCAACCTCACTCACTCACTAGTCTTTCTTCTAAACCTCTTCCTCTGTACTCTCTCTCTTTGTTTTTTAATTTACTGTTGGCATCCTGTGTGATTTTTTTTTTTTTTGACTCCTCCTATTCTACCTTCCTGTCCTTGTATCTCCAGCTCTCTGTCTGTCTCACTCATTTTCTCTTTATGCTCCACTGTCTCTCTGACTCTTTCTCTGTTCCGATGTCAAACAGATGGATCTTGCCCTTGACAACATGCCTCCAATCATTTGGAAGGATTAGTGCTTTTTCCCCCTTTGCTCTCCCTCCAATTAGCTTGAACTGTATGTGTGTTAACCATGTGTGTTCAAGACACACACACATACACACACACATTTATATACACAGCCAACTGTGAAAATACAGGCTAAGCCATATAAAAGGTTAAGTGATTATGTAGCTGTAAAAGGGGTTGTGTGTGTAAAACCGAAGGGTAAAGGCATTATCATAATTCAATTCACTGTGATTCAGTTCTCCCTAATTTAATAGCGGCTTGTATCAACAAAATACATGCACCGTAACAGGACCTTTTATAAAACAATATGTTTTATGTTGGATTAATTTAATTAAATAAAAGTGTGGATGTCAGCAAAGCAGCTGTGCACAGAAGCGGGCACAGGTGGCGTATGCAGGGCCAAACCAAAAGGACTCTGCATTTCTTGTTTGCTTGTTTGTCCTCGGCCATCCTCAGTTAACTGTCCTTATGTCGTTAGACCTTACATATAAAATAGATGACAAACAAAGCAATGCGAATGAAATACTCATTAATGACAACATCATTTGTTTCTGTACAGTTTTTTGCTACTGGATATAGATTTCTATCTGTAAGTTTGGGAAAGATGTTTTTGCATTGTTTGTGGTATGAGTGACCTTTCTCTGGCTTTTTAAAAGTCGACCTGCCCAGGGCTGCGTCGCATTGCGCCTTAATAGCAGACGGCAGAGTGGAAAGAAGACTTGTGTCAGATTATTCCTCCCCATCGTGGTGTTCTGGTGGTTGCACCGTAAGTCATCCAGGCATAGGATTACTATCATAGCAGCATGACACCTGATGGATGTGATGGACATTATATCTTCATTATATACCCAAAGTCATGGGGTTTACATTATGTTATGTTCCTGGTGATAGAAACAATTATGGTAAAGACAAGTTAATTACACTGGAAATGGTTTTGCTAGATCACAAAAAAGAACATTTCAGGGCATTTTTCATGTCTTCTCTATGAATATCAGAAACAAAGGTGACCAATTACAGTCCCCGTGTGGCATCTTTGTTCTCCCAGTGATACACTTTTAAGGAGGTCAGAACCACTGGCACCTCCGGTGGACCTATATCCTGACATTGAAGTATAAATCTAACTATGACATCTGTCTTTTTGGTCATGAAAACATTGTTGAAGAAAAGCAGAAAAACTGCATGTGCAATCTCTTTTTCCATGGCCCTTCTGTTGTCAGTGAACAGGGTCTGTAAAGGGTTAAACTTTCTCCTCTTCTTCTGGCCTTGTCTGGCTGTCTATCTTTGTCTCCCTCTCCCTCCTGTTCTTCTCAGGGCTAGCTCCTGCAGATGTTGCCTGTTAAAAATCTTTCTGCCAGGCCTCAGCTGGGCTATAGCAACACATGATGTCATCTAGACCCACCTCCCTCTCCCTCCCTTCTCCTCCACTTCCTGTGCTCACGTGCGACCAAAATCCACTCCAGTGCAGTCTCTGGCTGCCTGCTTATGTGTGTGTGTGTGTGTGTGTGTGTGTGTTCTAATTTTCCCATTGGCCTCACGGTCTTTCTTGTTCTGCTCGTCATCCTTTTTATTTCAGTTTGAAGTCTCTCTGCCTCTGGCTTTTGGCACGTCTGAACTTCCATATCCTTTAATATATTGCTCCTTTCTTTTTTTCTCTTCCTTTCTTCCCAAGCACAACATCTAACCTAGCTTCTCCTCACCTGCTTCTCTGTTGTGCTTCTTATTTTTCCCTTTGCCATCATTCTCTTGTCATCTTCCTTTTCCACCAGAACAAATAATTAAAGAGAGCAAAGTGAGGGAGACTTGTGAGACCCCCTGAAGAGAGCCGGTCCGCTGAGCCCTCCTGTGGCAAGAAGCAGTCATGACAGTATGTCTCTTGGACTCGGCGCTTTGTCAGCAAACTGTGGCCGGACAAACACAGTAGCTGTGTCTGGACAGTTAGTTACTGTTTCAGAGTCAGTGCAACAGAAAAAAAAACAGACTTAACAAAACTATAAAAATGAGTTGATTTGATCTTTGTGATATTATGTGTGTAGTAATTAATTTTTAATGGGTTTAAAATCACAATGACAGTGTTCAGATTTTTTTGAGAAGTGCATGTAAGTTTAGGCAACACTTCCTGTTGACATTTCTTTATCCACTCATTGGTCCATTCTCTTTTTCACCCTTTTTCTATCCTTTCTTGTTTGCAATTACTGCTTCTTTCCACCCTCTCTTCTCATCACTGTGTTTTTCCATTATGAGGAGTTTGTATATATATATGTGTGTGTGTGTGTGTGTGTGTGTGTTAGGAGGGGAGCAGGGTGAGGTATCAGTCCCCCCTCATTTTTTAATGGCCTGGTCTTTGTGTCGGCACCGTACCACCTAAGATGAACACAACACACACACACACACACACACACACACACACACACACACACACACACACACACACACGTGTGACATGAGGGCCCTTCAAAAGTGAACCTGTCAATGGTCTGGCTGTCACTCCCCTCTTGTGGTGCCCCGACTGTGATTGATAACTACATCTCTCCCATCCTCCCTCCTTGCTTGTTTCTGTGAGTCACTTCCAGCTGCTCTGGACTGAGAGACACACAGATACTGTGGATATACTGTTTAGCAGCAAAACCAGATTATCATCAGAAAACAAAAATCTACAATTAATGGATTATGTACAAATGTGTCTATTCCAACTTTGCCTTTTATAAACAGGAAGAGGCATAAAAAATGTATGCTTTTGTTTTAAAATGTTTTCAAAATAAAATGTCATCAAATACTGTAGGACTATGTAGCCCCTTTATGCCAAAACTACTGTAGAAATCTGAGCTCCAGCTGAAACATTCAGATATTGGTAATCAAATACTGATCTTTAACTTTACAATGTCTACTAACACTTTATAGAGCCTTATCTCACATACACCAATCAAAAGGAAGGGAGAACGCAATAGACAGAAAAGAATGAGAAACTCCTGGCAGCGCTGAAAGGGGGCCATGAAAACAACACAGGTGAAAATGGAGAGAGAGAAAAATGGATGTTCATAGAAATGTATACAGGGGAACAGAGGAGATATCAGTGAACTTGATAGAGAGGAAATATCAGAAAGAGTCACACAAGGTCAACACAAATGTAATGACAGACAGATACACAGAGGATTTTTGTTTTGAACTAGCTGTGAAGCTCTTGGCACTGAGGGAGAGGGTGACCGCTTTTCTTCCTACTGCTGTAGTCAGCGAGCCAGCCGGGGAACCAGACACTGCTGTTCCAAACCTCTGATCTACAGCTGAGGGCTGTAGATCACACACAGCTCTGTCCCTCTCACATGCGCCCACATACACACACACACACACACACACATGGAAGACTTTTATTCATAGCAACTGAATTATAGCATTTAAGGGAACCCATGGCAAATAAAAGACTGTTTTTATGTGCTTGGATGGGATTTTATTCCATCCCATTGACCCCACCTCCTACCTCATACTCTTCAGCCATCTGTTTGCAGAAATCATGAAGCCATCCCTGCTTTCCCTCTCATGTCTACCATCTTTTTGTAAACAGTTGTTTATCTTGGGATGTAGTCATTTTGGCTTGCATATATTCTTTTCTACATCTCAGCCTTTGTGTTGAACTGTAGTTTAAAAAAGTGAACAGCATTTGAAAGTAAGGAGATGTAGACAGTTGAATGGCTCTCTCTAAGTATTGTTTTTTGCAAATAGATTGGTTTTTTTCATCTGATCAGCCAAATATTTCACTGCAAAGCTGCCATCTGAATATTTGGCCTTTTCATTGAGCTGTGGATTTGCCCACACCCCCTCATGGAGCCATTGTTTTATTTAGAATTTTATTTGTGTGGGTATATTTGGGGGGGTGCATTTTTGTTACCTTTGCTGCAGTAATATTTTTACCTTTTAAAGGTCTGTGATCTAGTATAGAACAGTTACACATCTGATCAGACAGAATTCTTTGAGAGATTTAAGCTTTATCAACATACCATCTCCTTTCCTTTCCAGCAAAATTCCTGTTTTGTAAAATAAATGTGTGATGGTTTGTATACATGATTGATCCACAGAACTGTGATGCGATTGTTTATCCTGTTCATTTAATGGGTTCCGTCTCTCTCTCTCCCTCTCTTTCATTCTCTCTCACTCTGTGGATCTTAGGTCTCTAAAGTGAACAGGCTGACGCGGGCAGGCTCGGCACAAGCTGTTGGTGGTGCCAAAAAGAGTCGTGACTTCCGACTGCCGTCCAAAACTGTGAAGAAGTACACAGCCACCGTATCCAAGGGCCACATAACCTACACCAAAGCCAAACAGAAAGAATTGGGCAAGAAAACCAAACTCAGCAGCAACAACAAACACAACAGCGCCGCCTCGGCACCATCGTCAGCGAACAATCACAATCAGCACAGCCAGCCAGCAGCCAGCAATGGGCTGGCAAACTCAGGAAAAGCAGCGGCACCAGCCCACCACAGCAATGCAAAAACCCGCAAACAGGTGCTACTATCCAATGGGCTGCACAATGTGGCTGCAGGCGCCCGCCTCAATGGCAGGCTAAATGGACAGCGGCACAACACCCTGGCCAAGGAGGTCGGGCAGAAACAGTGCCAGCACAGCCAGGGGGAGTGCGCGGGTCGAGAGGGACTGCGTAACTCTAAGCGGCGTCTGGAGGTGGTGCTCAACTCAGTGGGGACAGAGATTCTTGAGCAGAAAGCCAAAACCACTGGGGCTGAGGCCAAGAAGGCAAGGCTTCAGCCCACACCCCTGGAGACACGCAGCAGCAAGAAAGTGGCCAATCAAGAGAAAGCTGCCATGCAGATTACTAACCCTACCACTCCAGTTTCTAATGGACATGAATCAGAAACACCCTCTTCTCCTAAACAAACTCCACCTGTTACCCCGCTTCCACCTCCTACTACCCCTCTTCAGCAAACCCCACCTCCCTCTACACCAGCAGTCAACGCAGAGCCAGTGAACCAGCGACCCAAGCGAGCATCGGCCGGCAAGCTGATGTTGATACGACAAGCACAGCAGCAGAGCAGGTCTCATGGTCGGAGCTCCTCCTCTTCCTCCCCCTCATCAGGCCAGAACCCCAGTCGTGCCAGCACTACCTCAGACACCCAACAAACCTCTGTGTCCTCCTCCACCACCACCTCCTCCCTGCTTACTTCCACCAACAGCCCTGGGCAGCTCAAACCAGTGAATTTGCGGCCCATAGACCGTGACAAGGAGTGGGAGCGTGAGAAAGAAATGACACGCCAGAAGGAGCGCGAGCAGGAGAAGGAGTGGGAGCGCCAGCGGAGCAAGCCAGAGGGCTGGGCAGCGCTGGGTGAAGTCCCTGTCTTCTGGCCAGTGCCACGGGAGTTTCAGGACCCCCTTGTGTACTTGGATGCGGTGAGGGAACAGGCTGAGGCGGCTGGCATGTGTCGTGTGGTCCCGCCTCCAGACTGGCGGCCTGAGTGCAAGCTGAGCGAGGAGATGCGTTTTGTTACACAGGTGCAGAGGGTCCACATGCTGGGCCGGCGCTGGGGCCCCAACGTGCAGCGACTGGCCTGCATCCGCAAGCACCTCAAATCTCAGGGCATTACCATGGATGAGCCACCTGTCATTGGTAAGTAACCCAAACAGACATACACATATGTATGTATGTGGAAAGAAGTCATAAGAAAAAGCAGCCAGTAAGCAAGTGCCAAAAATCTTGCTGTTTCCATTGGTATCAGCTGTGTTCTGAAAGCTCCAGTCACATTCCACCTGATTTTATCTTTGTTTTTATAGATGACATAACATTGTGGAACTACTCAGTGAGGGGCCTGACAGGCCATGAAAACAGTATTTCCCCCAGATGGCCCCATCTCCTTTCATTTCTCACAAAGACATCAGTATTTAATCAGCATTTAAACAGCCTCTGCTCAGACAAACTGTGTGCGTGTTGTCTGTATTGTATGTGCATATGTATGCAGCCCATGCATGCAAATATGCAGTTGTTGAATTTTAATAGTTTTATACTAGTTGATGATGTGCATTTGCTCTGCTGTCTTTGTAGCTTTTGTATACAGCTGTATACTGATTAGCTCAGCGTGAGTACAGTTAGTGGAGTGGCTGCCGTCAGCCAGGTACCCTGGTTCCAAATGACTTCCTGTGTCCAGCAGATCAGTTCTGCATTAACAGTAATTTGTGTCTCTGTTTGGCACAGAGAGTTTTGAGATTATTTTGAATGGTGATAACTCAAGTGGCCATTTCAAATAAAATGAACTGGGCTGGAGGAAACTGCATGTTTAGCCAAAGGAGCAGATGCTCCAAAATGGCAGTCATCTTGATTTGATTTAATTTGTGTGTGGGTGGTGGGGGTGTAAAACCTCAGTTTATACTAGTGTCTATGTACATTTTCTCTGAATTAACTGTCACTTTATCTTTGTGCTCCGCACAGGTGGTTGTGAAGTGGACCTGTCACGTTTTTTCCAGCTCATCAATGATATGGGCGGGATGCAGCAGGTGATGGACCTGAAGAAGTGGACCAAGCTGGCTGACCTTCTGCGTATCCCTAAGTCGGCGCAGGACCGGCTGGCCAAGCTGCAGGAGGCCTACCTCCAGTACATCCTCTCATATGATTCGCTCAGCGCAGAGGAGCGCCTCCGACTGCAGACTGAGGTGCTGCAAGAGAAAAAGAACCTGGAGTCACGGCAGGGCCCTCTGGAGGGTCTCTCGGACTCCTCAGCACCTAGTGCTCTGGTACTGCCGCGCTATGAGCCCAAGAATGGGCTAGTAGGTGGAATAGTGGGAGGGACAACAGGGCACCATCGCACCAATGGAGTGTATCACCGTCTGAAGGAGCTGGAGGCTCAGGTCAAAGCGGGCCGGCGCCGGCTCTTTGCTCAGGAAAAACAAGGCAAAGAGGACAGGCAGCATGGAGTGGATCAGGAGGAGGAGGAGGACAGGGGCGTTCTCACTGACCAGCACAAATGTATTTACAAGGTGAGGATACAAAGAAGACATTTGCTGTTTAGGCGGCACATTTGAAGCATACAGAGCATGCAAGTGTATCCTTAGTTTTTTTTCCTGTTCTTTACTTTCAAACAGGTGTTTTGTGATCTCTCATCATTGTGCTGTTAACTTAAATCAAAAATTACTTTGTCTTGTTTATATGGCAAATGCCAGTGAATTATAGCTCTTTTGTAGCTCATTGGGAGCATCTGAGCAGTTTCTTAAGGGCCCATTATTGCTCAGCTAGCTGTCTTCTGTCTCACTACTATCTGAGTCAAGCCTAATTTCACGTGAGGTAATAGTCTACACCTCTCATAGAATCACCACTAAAATGTCAGTGTTTGACATCACTGTGCCAGTTCAACTCAGTCTACAGAAGGAGTTAAGATGTGCTATAAATTGTTACAACACACTATAACTTGGATTCTCTTAGGGACAGTGTTACTGTGGTGTTAACTGCCAAGATGTTGATATATTTAACATTTTTTATTCAGTGTTTGTGACAACAGTATCATGCAGTTAACTGTTATAGGTTCTGATTTATGAAACCAAACACAAGAGGTCTGGATACCTGTTTATGAGCAGCAGTACTTGTAAATCTGGCAAGTAGCTGCAGTGTAAAGACCTGGCTTTTAGCGAGAGAGTGAGGGACAGCAATTTTTGTAACTTGCACGTCATGTGGTTTTGTTAAATCCTTCTCTGCAGCTGTGCGTGGTAAGGTGGTCAGTAGTCTTGCTTGTGTGTGTATGCATATGCACTCTTGTACAAGATGTAGATGTATTCCCACCTTGCCAGCCTACTGGCAGCCGTGTTGATTCTGGCTGGCTGAAATATAGGTCAGAGAGAAGGCAGCCCCCCAAAGTAGCCCGGCCCCTCATCTCTCGGCTGACCCCTTCAAACCCCACCTTCTCTGGCTCTCTCCACCCTCAGCGCCGTTAATCCAGCCCTCATGCCATGCATCCTGTCCTTCAGCCTAAGCCCTTACTCATAGCCATTTCACCAAATGTCTAGTCCTCTGGCTAACCATGTCTTTCCTCTTCAGTCCCACACCCCTCATGCACTCTCCTCTTGCTAAACCCTCCACTAAGCCCCTCTTTGCCCTTTGTACAGTACATGTACACAGGCATACATGTATACAAAGGCTACAGGTAGCACTTCTTTGTGTACTTTTATAAACCCATTTGTGCAGGTGCATACAGTGCAATATGGGATTTAAAGTTCTGCTATAGGCAGACCGCATTACTGACTGTGTATGTATTTGCCCTTAGGTGAAGCAGTAATAATGTATGTAATTAACTTTGTTTCTCTGTTGCTCGCTCTCAGATCCACTCTGGCACTTCATCAGAGTGACATGTGAATGGCTGTCACCATCCTGACAGCACAGGCTTGTGTAAACATGAAACATGACCCATCACTCTTCTCCATAGCTCAGATTTGTATGCATTTTTTATCGAGTGCCATCAGGCTGGCAAGAGGTGGTTATAGTTCACCTTTTCGATCAGTAGAACAAAGTGCATGTCAAGGGTGTAATTAGCTCTAATTACACTGGGAAAGGCTTAGATAAGTGCTGCTACTGACTGGCCCAAAAAAAAAAAAAAAACTTGTCAGTGCTTGGTAGGTCACTGCTTTATTATTTGACTGCATTATTTTACAACTATGTAGCTAATGTACTATACTAAAACATAATAAGGTCAGACACTTTTTGGAGACATTCGGATACATAGGAAGGAGAAAAATCTGAATCCACAAGGTCATCATTCAGCAGGGTCTGTGCATCTTCAGGCCTGGAGCCGGGAGATTTATGGGCACCTTCAAAGCTTCTCTATAGCAGGACCGTCCATGGGAGGGTTAAGAGTCAAGTTCAGGGGAAATGTATCTGAGGCAGTTTTACAGGAGGCTTACAGACACATACACACTAACACATTTAGAGTTGATATATTTGTCTGTACACATTTTGACCATAATGCTTCCCCTTTGACTTTTTGAGTCGTACAAATCCGGTATGCGGGAAATAGAGCATGCAGTTCATTGATGTCCAGCAATATTTTCTTTGTATTTTTTAATTCAGTGTGCGCTCTGGTTCACACATTCCCTGTAGTTGTTTCTCCATGACCTAAGACCATAAATATGTGGCCCGAAGTCTAGTTTTTCTTGTTCCCCTCCACCTCTTCGAATGTGCTGTGACTCATGATGTGTAACGTCTCTTTGTTTCAGGGGAAATCGGTGTCTTTGACTAACTTCTTCAGGATAGCCCGGAACACCATGACTATGTGCTTTAACAAGGAACCAGGGGCTGCTGAGGTTGAGGTTAGCATGCTAATGTCTTGATTAAACAATTTTGAATGTAAACTGTCTAAAATAGGATCCAGTGGCTTTGTTTAAAATATCTGATTTTTAGTGAGTTCGTTATTTTCAGGTGGAATATTAAAACTTTAATGTAAAATTTAGGTGTAAGAACTCACAGCCATGACATAATTGATTGTGAGGTGCACCTGAAACCTGTACCTTGCCTTGGTCCACTAATCGGCTTTTTTTTTGTTTGTTTTTGCAGCAAGAGTACTGGAGGATTGTGGAGCAGAGAGACAGCCACGTGGCAGTGCATTGTGGGAAGGCAGACACCAGTACACATGGAAGTGGTTTCCCCATAGGAAAGTCAGAGCCATTTTCAAAGTAAGTAGTTCATAGGCCTAACACCAAACTTTAAAGACAGAACATTCTGCTCATGTTGTAAGACTGTAGTCTCGGCCTGAATCTCAGATGGTGAATCTAGACCTGGAAGTTTTACGTTGACCCTCTAGAGCAGACATGGGCATATGACAAGTTTCATCTGGCTTGTGAGGATCAAAACAAATCCAAATGAGAGTTTAGCTGGCTGTGAAATTCTGTAAACCATTTTCTCCCTGAAATGAATGCTGTGATTTTTATTTTGAAGTGGAGGAACATGCAGCATATAACTGAAAGCCTCATTTAAGTCTGATGTCTCAGTGACATTTGAGCATGAGCAAAAAAGAAGAAAGGGTTGATGCTGAATGTAGGACATTTAACAATATGTCGACTTCTTAATTTGCATGGAGCATATTGTCAAAGTATGCATTTCTGTTACCATGTTGACTTAACCACTTGTTCAAGCACAGTGATTTAAATATGTGGATGAATGAAACATTTGAGCCCCTACAGATATGAACTTTGCTTCTGTATTAAGAAAAACCATGAATGATTTGGATTAAAAATATTTCTTGAGGTTAATTATTTTGTTCAGAAAATGTTTATTTTGACATGAGTGGACTGGAAAGTTATTCTCTCTGTTAAAATGTGAACTACACTTAAAGTCCAGTAACTAAGTGACTGTGGCAGGATAACTGTATCTATATATCACTTCATGTTTGTTGCAGAGAAACTGTATTTCCTCGAATGAGTATATTAGGAAAATATTTTTACAGAAAGCCCTAGTGGCTTACACAGTTTTGGCGCAATAAACTGAGTAATCTGATTCTGCTCGACTTGTTTTTGTAAGCGGAAATTACACATGGATCCTAATATCTCCTGTAACAAAGCACTTGAAGCATTTTTGTAACTGCATGGCAGTGGCCCCGACGCTGTGGCAGATTCTGATGTGGCCTTCTGTTGAAAAAAACCGCCTGCCCCTGAGCTACTGTGTCGAGGCATTTTTTGGTATTCTTGGGGAAAAAGTACAAATGACCATTTTCTCTCGTGTGTGTCTCAGACATGGATGGAACCTCGCTGTCCTCCCCAATAACTCTGGATCCATTCTGAGACATCTGGGTGCTGTGCCTGGTAAGGACACGTGAAGGCAGTTCTCTAGAGCATAAATGTTGGAGCAGTTCATTAGCAAAGCTAAAGTCAGATTTATCTAAAATTGCTCCAGAAAAATGCATATCCATCCATCCATTCTATGTAGTTAGTAATAACCTGTTTTTGTTTTGCTCTGTGTAAACCTGTCTGTCTCCCCAGGGGTCACCATTCCCTGGCTAAACATTGGCATGGTCTTTTCTACCTCATGCTGGTCTCGAGACCAAAATCACCTTCCATATATTGATTACTTACACACTGGTGCTGATTGCATTTGGTGAGTATGCACTATAGGTTCTGTCCTCATTATCACTGTGTAGGATCACGCTAAAAAGTCTGCCTCAAAGTCTCCTGTAAATATTTAAACATATGTAAAATAAGCTAGGCAGATCAGTTGGAAAAACAACAAATACACATTTCCAAATAAATCTGGCCCTGTGTGCTCATGGCTTTGCCTGTGCCTGTTCCACCTACAGGTATTCTGTCCCTGCTGAGGAGAAGGCTAAGCTGGACAAGGTGGTCCATACACTGCTTCAAGCTAATGGCACCCCAGGACTAGAAATGTTGGAGAAGAATATCATGGTAAGTGATTTCTCTATGGCTATGCAAACTATATTTATTTTGCTGTCGTGTGCTAGCTAGAGCGCTTCATTACCAACACATCTTTCTCTCCCTCGATTATTCCAGATCTCTCCCGAGGTGCTTTGCCGTGAGGGGATCAAGGTTTACCGTACGGTGCAGCGGAGCGGCCAGTTTGTGGTCTGCTTCCCCGGTGCCTTTGTTTCTAAAGTGTGCTGCGGCTACAGCGTGTCAGAGACAGTGCACTTTGCCACACCACACTGGATGAACCTGGGTTACCAGGCTGCAAAGGTCAGCATCTAAATCACAGCGGGCAGAGCAGTACCAAGGGCTGTGTTAAATTAATTATGGAATATATGTATATGTGGAAAACAAAATGTACAATAATGGACAAAAATATATTCTATAAATGATACAATGAATGAAATGAAATAAAAATTTCTCTTTGGAATGAGAATTGCAGATTTTTCATGACAGCTGTTTTATTTCACTTCTCAACAGTGGCCCCCTGTGGACAGTGGCAGTTAGAGCTCTGATTTATGTAGCGCTGATTGAAACTGAAATTGATAAATCAACTTGGAAACCTACACATGATTCTTTAATCAGCCAGTGTGCTGAACTTTGAGTAATTGCAGCTATAAGTTTCCCCATGGGGTGTATTTAGATTTTTTTTTCATGATAATGAGCAGGCCATTGAACCACTGGACCTCATTATAGCTGTAATAGAAGAGGGGGGAGAAAGCTCCTTACCGTCATACTGGGCATTATGGTGATGGAAGTACATACATCTTCAGCAATACCATCGTATTCACAGTCACAGCAAAGACTGCCCTCAAGGGTAATATGACATTCATACAGCATACTGCATAGTGGTGCACGGCCCAAAACTGTTCCTTCCAAATGAACTTTTTTGTCAAGAGTAAAGAAAAAAAGGGCGAGACGAGATATGTTAATCTGAGTGTACAAAGTCTGTGGCTACACCACAAACACATTTGTTAGAACATGCCAAGAACATACCAGTCAACTTGCTTTACTCATTTTGCTTGGTTAAACATATCTGTATTTGGATGTGTGTACAATCCTGGAACATGGAGACGATACTGGTTTAATAAATGACTTATGCTGGGGGGAAAGGCTGTGTTTTTGATTTTGAGACGAAAAATAATTCACTGAGGGGGAAAAAAAAGAAAACAAAAAAAAAAATATATATATATATACAGAGAGAGAGAGAGAGAAAGAAAGAGAGAGAGACTTTTTTCTTCAAATGACCAGGATGTTTTGTGCTGTACTATTTTTAAAAAGAAACAGTAAGAATACATTTTTTTATTACATTTTTTTTGGCACAGGACCTGAAATGTCGTCATATAGCCAAACCCTTCTCCATGGAGAAGCTACTGTACCAGATCGCCACAGCCGAGTCCAAGAGGGACAATGGCCTTCTCCTTACCACCATCTCCGCCCTACTCAAAGACCTCAGGTAGGATGAAGCTGTGCGCACGCACACGCATGCATTCACACATACAGTACCGCTACATGCAAAAAAGAGCACAAGTGAAAACTCAGATGTAGCAATTTCCACATGCTTGTGATTAATAGCTTAGGGAATAAATCAAATGTTGACATTTGATCTTAATGACTTATCCTCTGTAGATCTGTTTTTTTTTTAAATAAAGAATTCTGCATCTTCCGAGGGCAATAAAAAGCATCCAACTTAATGTACTATGATATAGTTTGTGTACAGCTTTAATAAAATAGCAACAGGTTTTCTGGGTCTAACTTAATGAGCATCTTGGTTGTCTAATAGGAACATAGAGATGCGGCAACGACAGGAACTTTACAAGGCAGGCTTGCTCTCCTCTGCTCGCTATGGCACTCATGACGGCAGCCTAGGGCCTGGCGAGGGGCGCAAGAAGCCTCGTGGGAAATGGCTAGCACTGGAGTCCTCAGAGAGACGCTGCCAGATCTGTCAGCACCTCTGCTACCTGTCCATGGTGAGAGCATAGAGCACAGCAGTTTAACACACTACAGCTATAAGAGTCTGTACTTATTTTCTAAACTCCTGAAGGGCCAGTCTGGGTACAGTTTTCATACATAATAACAAACATGGTCTAAACTCAAGAAAGTTTAAGGTCAAATATTTATTTGTGAAATCAGCAGTCATGCAAGACTTTCCAGTTTGTAGGTATTATTTTGTATTATGTCCTGCAACATCATACAGCTTATATACTGTACTTACTACTGATAATACATATTTACTTTCACATAGGCAAGATTGTTTTCTTGTGCTTTTTATGGCTCTATATTTCAAAACTAGCCAAACAAAACCAAAGAATGACATTTTACTACAATGATGCAAATTAATTGCTATGATATTGTTACATATGAAAAGCTAATTTTCCATTGGCATAAGACAGTAGGAGTAGACATGATTTATTAGGTTACCCACTAAAATATCTCGGTAATAAGAGCATACTGACACGAGTGTCTGGTTTGGTCTGTGCAGGTGGTTCAGGAGACGGACAATGTGGTCTTCTGTCTGGAGTGTGCCCTGCGCTACGTGGAGAAGCACAAGTCCTGCAGAGGCCTTAAGATGATGTACCGATACGATGAGGTGAGTTTCAGTTCTCTCTCTGTCCAGAAGGGGGAGGCATCAGCCAGGTTTACACTGCTCCAAGGAGTAGATAATTCACCATACACTGTACTTTTTTGTGTCAGTGCTGTAGTTGATATATAAAAATGTGCATTGTTGAAATTGTGCAGTTATTTAATGTGTCTTCCGCACTCAGGAGCAAATCAACAGTTTGGTGAACCAAGTGTGTGGTCGGGCCATGTTAAAGAATGGCAGCAACGGTGGAGTCGTCGTCGTCAGTGGAGGGGGGGGGGACCCCTGCCA